AGCACTTCCCACTGTCTTATTGAGCAGCAACCTGCTTCTGAAGCAGTGAAATGCAGTCGAGGTCAGCTACTTTGCAGTAACACTAAACAAAATTCTTCTTTGTTTGTGTGTTTGTTTGTGTCTCTCAACCACAGACAAGCTGCCATTGCTGAGAAAAGTAAGTAACCCACCTTCACATTCACTCCTGGCGTAAATTCAAAATAGAATTTTAATTTGCTATTGTGACTACAGATGGAGGATAGTGAAAGTGTTTTTCCCTTTTCTTTCTTTATTTAAATCTTAGGTGCTCTAACTATGTTTTCATTTTAGTCTTTTAAGTAAAAATATCTATGAAAAGAAGGTCTCAGGTTATTTTATAAGAATGTCACCCAGCTCTTGACTTGAGCTACCGTGCAGACGTCCTGACAGATCTCTTGGCTGCAAATCATACAATGGATCACTTGTAGTCACTTGCAGGCACAATATATCAGAAAAATTTATATACATTAAAGAAAAGAAACATTGTAAATTTAACATCAGGTAAATCACTGTAACTTGTTCCAACAAGTACTGTGCATCTTTTGGGGAGCCCCCATAAGATAAAGATGCCGAATAAGGCCTTCCTCACTTTCACTGAACACGACACTGTCCAAGTGAACAAACACCCAGCTGTCAAGTCTGCATGCCCAGAAGTGTGCTCACTGCTGCACTTCTGTCAACTCTTTGTTGCACACACAGAGATTTTTAGAAGAACTCGGTCTTACAGAATCCCAGAAGTCACTGACTAATCCGTAGGACTGATTCAATTTCTTTCTCAGTGTGGGAGCCAGAATTTAGAAATTGTTACAGATTAAAATGGTAAAGTCAATCCCAGGCTGGAATTGAAGGGAACCAGGAGGAGTGAGAAGTGAAGTCATCCTTCCACCTGCCAGTGGCTCCGGGTCCTTCCGCATGGAACTTTGAACCTTCAGCTTGTACTGTCTCCCTTCCCTCCATTCTCCTCTTTCCCTCTCCTGGCTCACGCCCTGCATCTGTGAGACTGCTGCTCATGGCAAAGGGGCAGATGCCAGTACCAGGGGCACAGAAGCATGATCGGAGGGTGTCAGAGCAAGAGAGGCACTTCTTGTCTGGTGTCAAGTATGTCCCTCCTGCTCCTGGATGCACTGAGCAAAGCCCAGGTCCACAAGCAGTTCTCCGCCTCTCCCAACTCTTAAATTCTTTTGTGCACAAGGAGCCCGTTACTCCAGTTTATGAACTCTTTTCATCTGGAAGAGCCCTTAGAGCTCTTCTGGCTCCATGTTTTTAAGCTTTTATAAGCTTAAAAACTCACTTCACACAAAGTCTTCCACACAGACCCAGTAAATAAAATAGGTAAAAACTGAGTTACTTTTAATTGAAGTTTGGATGGGGTCCTGGCTCCCTAACTCAGTGCCCCCCATACCTCCCCTCAGGCTCCCCAGACGAATCTGACAGATGCTGTGGAGCAGAGCTGAGAAACTTAATGTCCACAGGTCTAATGCAAACCCCCTCCTTCCCCATTCTATAGATTAGCAGACAGGCCCACACAGGGAAGGGACTGGCCTCATATCCCACAGCAAGTCACACAGGGAACCAGGTGATGTGTTAGGCTTACAAGGGATGTAATAAAGCCAGTGGTTTCACTCAAAGCTTTACCCTGACTTAGTGGAGAAGGGAACTGTAGAGACGAGGGTCACGAGTCACAAATTAATTGAAGTAGGCCTAAAACCTTACAAGGGATGTAATAAAGCCAGTGGTTTCACTCAAAGCTTTACCCTGACTTAGTGGAGACGGGAACTGTAGAGACGAGGGTCACGAGTCACAAATTAATTGAAGTAGGCCTAAAACTGAGAGGGTGGTGGCCACTGTGTTAGTACAAGAGAAGATGCCTATGAGTCAAAGGTGCCCTTCCCAGGGGCTGAGGTGGTCACACCCAGAGCACATGGCTTGCTGAAGGTGCCAGCCCTGGGCTTCAACGTCCATCCCATTTCTTGTCCCCTCCTCTGGGGGCCTTTATACTCTCAGCCATTGACAGGTGCTGGCACAGCACTACTAAGAACTACCGGGAGACAAGAAAGGGAAGCCCTCTAGGGAAGGTCTCAAAGATAGCCCACGTCTGCATGAGCCTCCAGAGCTCTCTAGGGCACAGCCTTTCTACTGTTCAGCCTTTTTCACCATAGGAAAACCCATAAAAGAGGCCAAGCCAGGCTTGGATGCTGTCCACAGAGATCTGTTCTGCCTCGTCCAGCTTAGCCCCAATACGCTGCAGAAGGACCAGGCTGAAAATAGCCATGAAAATTATAGAGCAGATCTTGATGTGACAGAGCCATCTCAAGCTGGTATTTTAGGTACAGATATAGGCACCCACATGCCCGCAATTTGTGGGTAAAGAAGGATTAAAATACAGAATCACTGGATCTTTTCCTTATCTTGCATATTGAAAACAGTATAAATAACTTTCAGGAGAGGGAAACTAAATTGGAAAATTACTTCTTTGGGGTGGTTTTGTGAGTGTGATCTCTGGCCGCATCACTGCAGTGATTGACCAGAAATGCCTCTGCTTGCAGATCGTGCCCGGGTACTGGGCGGCCTCCCCGACGTGGTCACCATCCAGGAGGGCAAGGTAAGGGTGGAGCACTCTTGTCCCTGCTCCTTCCACAGAAGGGACAGGCTCCAGGGTCCCAGACTTTGTTCCTTCTCTTAAGATATACTTAACATCCCACCACCTTCATGTTATTCCATGGCTGCTAATACCTGAACAGAATAGCCAAATTCAAGGTTAAAAATGCAGTTGGCTTTCCAATCTCCTTAATGTTTTGAAGGCCAGGCATCAGGATGCAAGTTTGTCTCACGTGGATGTATGTAGACCACTTCGTATCTTTCCAAAGTCATCCTTTAAAATCACGAGAAGCTGAAAATGTTCAGTGATAACTCTATGAAAATATAACTGAAAAAAGAAACGACCTCTAACACATTATGGGAAATGGACTGTATTATTAAGTGCCTCACTTTTGAAGGGAAACATGATGCTTTGTAAATTTCTCTAGGCT